ACTCGGCCATAGAAACAAAGGCCCCTTCCACACCTGAATAAAATCCCACATTATCTGCTTTGAACTGGAATATATGGCAATGTGGACCCAGTTCAAAGCAGACATTGTGGGATTTTCTGCCTTGATATTCTTGTTTATATGGCTGTGTGGAAGGGCCCCACTGGGTACTCTTTGGCAAGTCTCTCTTTCTCAGCCTCAGAGGAAGGCAATGACAAACCCCTTCTGAAGAAATCATGCCAAGAAAGCCCCATGGTAAGTTTTGCCTTAAGGTTACCATAAGTCAGAAATAATGTGAAGGCATGCAACAACAATATTTTGATATGTGTTTGTCTTCATGTAAATAGCTTTGAATACAGGATCAGGCCCAAAGTCATCCTAAGCAGAAAAATTTCAAAAAGGGAAGGCAGCAAGGTGAATCTTGCTCAAGCAATGTAGTTCTAATAGAAATGTCTTACTCTCTCACGTTTACTTATTCAGATAACAAATAACTCTTTTGAAGAGAGAAGGGGAGCTGGAGATTGAATGTATATATTACAGTCCAAATAAATATGAAAAGGCTGCTGCATGTGCCTGTATAAATCCTGGTGATCTCATATGTTTTCATCACACAACTGCCATTGAAGAAGATGTGAGGAAATGAGAAACCGTTGTCACCCTTATAATAGGGAAGCAGAGAAGCAGAGCATTGCTGGAATTTGTTTAAAGGGAAAAGAGAGAGATTGTGGGAAAGAAGCCTAAAGAGAAATGTATGTCTTCCAGGTACAATATGCATGACATTAAAACATCCAGGACTGCACGGAATTAACATAAATTTGGTGAATTAATAGTAATGAGGGATAAAATTGGTGAATTAATAGTAATGAGGGATGGATTAGTAACAAGGGGCCCTTCCAGGTAGGCGCTATATCCCAGGACCTGATCCCAGGTTTTCTGCTTTCACCAAATTATATGCGTCCCCATTGCCAGATAAACAGAAAACCTGGGAACAGATCCTGGGATATAGGGCCTGTCTAGAAGGCCCTGAGTTGGGTGGCCTTGATACATCAGTGATCATTCCAGACCTTCATTGGACTTTCCAGTGTTTTTCTCTGGTTAACAATTGGTAGAAGTGTAGCTAGGAAGAAAATATGTAGCATCTGGATTAGTCTATAAAGATAGTTATCTGTTTAGATAGTAATTCCTATTGTTAAGAGGCAAATGTTTTGTTTAGATGTATTCAAGTTGCCAGCTCACTTATGGCAAGCCAATGAATTTCATAGGTTTTTTTTTTTAAAGACAAGGAATATTTGCCAGTCCCTTCTTCTGAAATATAGCCTTCATCACCTGGTATTCATTAGTGGTCTCTCATCTAAACACAAACTCAGACTAACCTTGCTTATCTTCCAAGACCAGACAATCTCTGGTGCTTTGAGGGTATGTAGAAATATCAAAGATAAAGTAGGATTCACAAAAGCAATGCCCCGGGACATTGTTGTCCAAGTAGCCATTCTTTGTGAGAAAACAAACATGAGGGTGTTTTGCTGCTGCTGCTGTTGTTGTTGTTGTTGTTATTATTATTATTATTATTATTATTATTATTATTATTAGGTTCTTGTGGGTTTTTTCGGGCTATAGAGCCATGTTCTAGAGGCATTTCTCCTGACGTTTCGCCTGCATCTATGGCAAGCATCCTCAGAGGTGTGAGGTCTGTTGGAAGTAGGAAAAATGGGTTTATATATCTGTGGAATGGCTGGGGTGGGGCAAGGAGCTCTTCCCTGCTGCAGTTAGGTGTGAATGTTTAGCTGATCACCTTCATTAGCATTTGAAGGCTTGCCTGAGCCTGGGAAAATCTGTTGCTGGGAGGTGTTAATCTGTGCCTGGTTTTTTTTCCTCTCTGTTGTTTAGCTGTTATAATTTTAGAGTTTTTTAATACTGGTAGCCAGATTTTGTTCATTTTCATGGTCTCTTCCTTTCTGTTGAAATTGTCCACATGCTTGTGGATTTCAATGGCTTCTCTGTGTAGTCTGACATGGTGGTTGTTGGTGTGGTCCAGCATTTCTGTGTTCTCAAATAATATGCTGTGTCCAGGCTGGTTCATCAGGTGCTCTGCTATGGCTGACTTCTCTGGTTGAAGTAGTCTGCAGTGCCTTTCATGTTCCTTGATTCGTGTCTGGGCGCTGCGTTTGGTGGTCCCTATGTAGACTTGTCCACAGCTGCATGGTATACGGTCACAGCATATTATTTGAGAACACAGAAATGCTGGACCACACCAACAACCACCATGTCAGACTACACAGAGAAGCCATTGAAATCCACAAGCATGTGGACAATTTCAACAGAAAGGAAGAGACCATGAAAATGAACACAATCTGGCTACCAGTATTAAAAAAACTCTAAAATTACAACAGCAAAACAGCAGAGAGGAAACAACCAGGCACATCTTAACACCTCCCAGCAACAGATTTTCCCAGGCTCAGGCAGGCCTTCAAATGCTAATGAAGGTGATCAGCTAAACATTCACACCTAACTGCAGCAGGGAAGAGCTCCTTGCCCCACCCCAGCCATTCCACAGATATATAAACCCTTTTTCCTACTTCCAACAGACCTCACAACCTCTGAGGATGCTTGCCATAGATGCAGGCGAAACGTCAGGAGAAATGCCTCTAGAACATGGCTCTATAGCCCGAAAAAACCCACAAGAACCTAGTGATTCCAGCCATGAAAGCCTTCGACAATACATTATTATTATTATTATTAGAAACACAACAAGATGAGTCCACAGCAAACAAGATCACTCCGCTGGCTGTTGTATTAGATCACACATCGGACACTTCCCAAGTGTCTAGGACTGTGTGATGTATCGGCGAATAATGTGTGCAGATCTCAGTAAGGTGGCCTTTTGCAGCTGGCAGATGGTAATTTTATCAGCTCCGATTGTGTTTAAGTGCAGACCAGGGGCGGCTTAACCCATTACGCAAAGTAAGCATTTGCAGTATAGTTGATTTTGCCCAGGGGCACTCTTGAGGCACTCTTGGGGGGAAAATAGACCTTGACATATGCGAGTTGTAGTTACTGGGATGTATAGTTCACCTACAATCAAAGAGAATTCTGAACTCCACCAGTGATGGAATTGAACCAAATACTGCACACATAACTCCCACGATGAACAGAAAATATATATCAGTGATTGGTTGGGGGATACTGTTTGCTTACCGTTGAAAATTACCTAGGGCTGCCTCTGGTGCAGACCAAGGTCTTTAGGCACTGCACCCAGTGTGCCAATCACCACAGGTACCACCTTGACTGGTTTGTGCCAGAGTATCTGCAATTCGATCTTTAAATCCTCGTATCGTGTCAGCTTTTCCAGTTGTTTCTCTTCAATTCTGCTGTCACCCTGGGATTGCAACATCGATGATCCATACTTTGTTTTCAAACACGATCACGAGGTCAGGAGTATTGCGCTCCAAAACTCTTGGCAGTCTGAATTCGGATGTCCCAGAGTAGTTTGATATGTTCATTTTCTGTAACCTTTTCAGGCTTGTGATCCCACCAGTTCTTTGTCGCAGGCAGATGGTATTTGTGGCACAAGTTCCAATGAATTATTACTGTTGTTGTTGTTATTGTTGTTATTATTATTATTATTATTATTATTATTATTATTATTATTATTCTACTTATCCTCTCCACAAGGAGACTCAAAGCAGCTAACCAGTTCTTGTTTGGTATCTTCTGGGCTGCAGACTGGAGATAACAATTTTCTTAAGTAAAACATCTGGATAGATGGCAACAGAACAGCTTGAGTTTCCAAGTGCTTTGCAGTATTTATTAAAATGCAAATTACTTCTCCTGGAAAGCTTGTAAGGATTGAGTGTGTAGAATCAGCTGCTCATCTGTGCTTCACAGAAAAGACAGTTGTCTTATTGCAAGAAGTCCCCAACTTTATTAGACCACTTAGTATATATAGGATTCTGAAACAATGTCATGAAACAATGTCATGAATGCCCTTGCAAAAGTTTTCATGCTATATATTAACTTATTCTTAGCTGTTCTTAAAAATCAGGAGAGGCAGGAATTGTGGCAAGCATCAAAGAAAGTGTTTGTGGAGTCATTGATTCCTACAGATACCATGTTTGGATACTCAGGTTTATAATTATCTGTATGATACCAATAATACAATAACATCAAACTAGAGAGTGCCTCGACATTAAATCCCTATGGGGCTGGTGAGAAAGAAGAAAGAGATTTAACATCATCTGGATTTAGTGCCAAGTTTGGAAAAGAAGAAGTACGTTTTTTGAATTCTGCTCTAGTAGCTTAATTGCGTGAATGACATTTGAGTCAACTGGTTTTGAGCAATACCCTAGTCAGTGATCTTATTCCAGTAAATGATGTTCTTCTGTCTGCATTTGGACAGCCAGCCACAACTGTACAGGCCCAGCTATTTCTCTGTTCTTAGTTAGGTCCAGATTTGGAGTAGCAAAGCTGTTGTTGTTGTTGTTGTTGTTGTTGTTATTATTATTATTGAACAACTCAGTAGAATGATTTTTATCTTTTGCACAAGAGCATGCTACAACACTAAGATGGGGAGTGTTGACCTAAGCAGAATATTATAATGTCCTTGCATGCACTATGTTTGGGTCTGTACATTGCCAACATTTATGGATCTTCAATTTAAGAAAGTTGCATGGATGAAGCTGAGACTATTGGTAGGAAGCATTTAGTGAATTTGCATCCATATCTGTTAGTCGTTCATCTATCAGATTAGAGGATAGGTCTTTCTTGCTCAGGTGAGAAGACTGTTTGCCATCTTGTCCTGGATAAGATCCTGGTTTCTCAATTAGTGTATTGCCGCTGGGATCCGTCCCAGTTTCTTAATTAATAGAGTGCCAGTTGGATTGTTACCTTAGGTTACACTGTTTCCCAAAGAGGGCTCTCAGTTCTTTCTGTCTGGTGAACAGGCTACACACTTGTCCTCTTTTGCAGGAATTACGTTTGCTTTGTCTCCCGATGTCTTCTTGCAGGAAAGGAACTGGAAGTAGGGACGTGTGAAATCACAGCATTGGACAGAGATTTGAGCCATCCCAAGAGGATGATCGCCAGGCAGACGGCACGGTGTTCCTGTAGGCGAGGCCAAGTCGCTGGGACAACAAAAGCAAAACCTGCCTGTGTGGATGGTAAGGGCAGCATTCAGTAATATTATTCCAGTAGTTCAAATGATACCACAATTGTGTATAGTCAGTTCCACATATATGGTATGTGGGAATCCAAAGCAGTTTCCAGTTGTAGAAACCTGGTTGGAAAAGCAATTGAATAACCAACAAAAACACCAGTTGCACAGCTGTCTTTGCAAATGCTTGCATAATTTGATGGGAAGCCAGTTGCAGAAGTGGGGGCTCCTGGAAAGCACATAAACAACATCTTACAGTTACCAGAGTTGTGAAAAACAACACAACCGTAATAGCATACTGTTGTGGAGACTGTGGGCCCTTCCACACAGCCCTATATCCCAGAAGATCAAGGCGGAAAATCCCACAATATCTGCTTTGAACTGAGTTATCTGAGTCTACACTCAGATAATATGGGATTTCCTGCCTTGATATTCTGGGATATAGGGATGTGTGGAAGGGGCCTGGATTTTCCATCAGAAGGGATGCATCAACTGCTTGCAGTAGCATGACCTATCAAGCACACCCAGAGCTTCTTAGGGCAGGGAGAAAGGTCTTTATTTTAAGATTAAGGAAAATGGCTGTAGCACCAATAAGTATGCACAGATAGGTTGGGTGTGTTCAAGACCCAAGGATCAGACAAAAACACAGACAAATCAATAACAATAATATATTTGCTAAGACACAAGGGGTGCTTCAGTCAGCTACCCAAGTCCATTGTTTACCAGGCCACCTTGCCTGCCTTTTCTATTTCCTGGCTTTCCCTAAGTCCCTCTGTGATCTGAACTCTCTTGGGGCCCTTCCCCATAGCCATCTAACCCAGAATATCAAGGCAGGTAATCTACAATATCTGCTTTGAACTGGATTATCTGAGTCCACACTGTCATATAGCCCAGTTCAAAGCAGATAATGTGGGATTTTATACAGCTGTGTGGAAGGGGCCTTGGATAGCCTCCCCAATCAATCAGCCAAGGCAGTGCCTCAGGCGTCTCCTACTTTTCTTCACATAGTCTTTTCCTCCACTAACATCACCCTGAATTTAGGCTTGAAAATGAAAGCTTTGTCTTCTTACTTCAATAACTTGCTTTAGTGAGCTGCACATCAGGGACAGGAAGGAAGAGAAAATCTTTAAAGATGTTGAGGCATGATGAGGTTTTATCTGTTTTTGTGCTAGTGCACATCACAGTCTGTGAGAATTTCCCAGTGGCTTCGGAGACTGGTGATATCTTTTTCTGCTGCAAAACTCCATCTCAGCATCATGGGAGATAAAGTGAAAATGTTCCCATTTGCAAAATTAAACTTTTTCAGTCAGACCTAAGATCAGAGCAAGGGAAATAGGTCATCTACCAACTTCGATTCCTGCCCACAATCTAGTAAAAAACAGGTAGACTACATGACAGAAGGATTCTCAGGAAGCAAAAGAGCTTGCAGAGAATGGAACAATTTCATCCCCCTCCCGGTGGCGCAGTGGGTTAAAGTCCTGTGCCAGCAGGACTGAAGACCGACAGGTCGCAGGTTCGAATCCGGGGAGAGGCGGATGAGCTCCCTCTATTAGCTCCAGCTCCTCATGCGGGGACATGATAGAAGCCTCCCACAAGGATGATAAAACATCAAAAAAATCATCCAGGCGTCCCCTGGGCAACGTCCTTGCAGACGTCCATTTCTCTCACAACAGGAGCGGTTGCTCCTGACACGACAAAAAAAAATCCCCCTCCCTTACGATGGTGTCACCGGGTGCAATTTGCACCCGCTGTGGGATGCTACGGGTTGAGTCCCATGATACCTCAGTCTTGAGCTGTGGAAAACTGGTTAGTCTCCACAAAAGTGTTAATTTATAATCTAGGTAACTGTCCTGCCTGATCCCATTTGTGGAGTTGCTGCATACAACTAGAAAATCAGAATGGGAAACACCCCAAATACTCTCTTTGTCCGCTCCAGCCTTACAGGGAGGAGGCTTTAGTGAGGCACTGCTGTGTGGGCATGTATTGCCTTGTGTTGCTATGTGCTGCACTTGTGCCACAGCAACATGCTACATAGTGTTGCTATGTGTGTGGTGGATGTGTCCCTTGCCTGTGGGTGGGCTTTTGATACATGTGTTGAGTATGAGGCTATTCTAAGCCTGCAGGTGGCTATTAACTCATAATCGGAGGTGTTATAACTACAGTACAAAGAATAATAGATTTGATTCATTTTCCATTCTCCGCCAATATTTTCCCTTTATTCTGCTCTTTCTTCTACTCATCCTATTATTTTTTTACCCTTTCTTTTGCAAGGTGCTTTCACAGTGATGGAAAATGTAATTGCACAATCTTGTACCTCAATGAGTGAGTGTGCATAAGCCTTCAAGCAACCCAATGAATTTCATAGCATTTTCTTAGGCAATTAAAACTCAGATGTGGTTTTGCCAGTTCTTTTTTCTGAAATATGGCCTACAGCACCTGATATTCATTAGTGGTGTCTCATCCAAGTCCTAACCAGTGTTGACCTTGCTTAACTTCCAAGATCAGACACTCAGAAGTAAATCCCATTCTCTCCCCCTTTCCCTGTTTTTTTTTTCTTGTAGTACAGTTTTCTCTCTTGTAATTAAATATAGGGTTGAAATCTTAATCCTGTTATTTAGCCTTGTATCATAATGCCCAGTTCTTATTCAATTGAGGGCCATGGGGAACGTTTTACAGGGTTCATTTGGGGATTACCATAATAATCTTAACTGCATCTTTATGTGAACCCATCAAATGGACAGCAGCAGAGAGGCATCTTTAGCAGATGGGTAGGCCTGAATCTTCTTTCACCCCAAGCCACCAAAGGTATGCTGACTCTGGAGAAGGGGAGCGATAGTCCACCAAAGCCTGAGCACGCAAAAATTATATTTTTGTTTTTAAATCTGTTGTTGTACATATGACTAATTTCTGTTCCTATTGTTTGCCTTCCTTTCTTTCCACACCCTTCTCTCTCCCTTTTCCTCTCTCGCAATATCTGTCTGGCAGCTCAGATCATTGTCAACAGACAGTGGTGTGGGATGGAGCCCTGCGACGACGGGGAACAATGCACATTGCTAATAAATCGTTCAGGTTGGAGCTGCACTAGACAACTGGGACGAATAAAAACAGTCACGGTAAGTCTCTTTTAGCCAGTCAAGATGAGAAGGAAGGGGACCCGATGATAACAATTTGGTTCTAGAATAAGTCAACATGCTGGGTAGGGAATTCTGGGAATGCATTTCTTGTAAATGCATGCAGGAGAGTGCAATCTCCGTCAAGCCTGCAGCTTGACGTTTGGCTCTAGACTAAGTGTACATGTTGGGTTGGCCATACTGGGAACTGCATTCATTATTAATGTATGCAGGGGAGTGCAATCTCCGTCAAGCATGCAGTTTGGTGTTCTGAGCATTATAGCCCTCAAACTTCCAAAGGCAGAGTAGATGTGTCATGCAGCTGCTGGACTCGGAAAGTGTTGCTAGATGTAGCCAGCAATGACCAGGGAAATGCATATTGGTCACGTAGAACTCTTGATTCCACTTTCCACAGTATTCTACAAGCCCAAACCAAGATTCTGTTTGTAGTGGTATGTTATCATAGCCATCCACTCCCCCAGCAATTCTACTTTCTTCACACTTGCGCAGCAAAGAGGCAGAGGTAAAGAGGGAGGGCTGCCTGCTCCATGCCATCTGTTTCTTAGATTCCTGGCTTTGAATTATAGGCAGTGTGGGAAATATAGGCAGTGTGGGAAGGCTGGCTTGGAAAGTCAGCTGTGCCATGAGACAGGTGATTTTCTAAGCCGCTTGTTCTTTCTGCCTTGGTTTCTGAAAGCCAAGAATCTGGGAAACATTGCAGATTGGGCAGCTTTCTCTTTCCGGTGTTGCACGTCTGCCTTGTTCTTTTCTATGTTCCACCTCCACAAGCATGGTTACACTACTAGTAAAGCCTATGGGAGTCCAACCTGTAGTTTGGAAACAATTAGTTACAAATAATTAATTATTTGTGATGATTGCCAAAATGTTGGGTGAGTGGGGGGTTGGCAACAAGTGAAGCATAACTAACATACAGTACAGTAAGACTCCTATATCTGTGTGAAATATACAATTTGCAACCAGGTCACCATTTCCTGAAATTATAGATATGATCAAACACCATTACATTACAGTAACTCACTTCTAGTCCCAGTATGCCATGGAGTTGTGTTGGAGGACTTCGAGATTCACAGAAAGGTCTAGGAATTTGCTAGGACTTCTGGTGCAAAACTGTGGTAACTTCTGGGGAAAGCATACCATAGTATTTCTTGGAGGATCTAGCACAGTGGTTCTCAACCTGTGGGTCCCCAGGTGTTTTGGCCTACAACTCCCAGAAATCCCCGCCAGTTTACCAGCTGTTGGAATTTCTGGGAGTTGAAGGCCAAAACCTGGGGACCCACAAGTTGAGAACCACTGATCTAGCAAATTCCTAGAGAGACCATTTTTCCCTGGGCACAGCAATTGAAACTGCAGATATGGATTCCTTTAGTAATGGGCATCTTACTGTTTAATTGTAATGCAACAAAGAAAATATCTCCACTCCTTTTGTTGCATAACTGTAACTTTTAAACTTAGTGTTTAGTTTTAACTTTATTTATAAACACTATAAAAATAACAAAAATAGTTACAGGTTTACAAAACAAGTTGTTTCAGTATGTTTTGTAGGATAGGGCAGTGAAATTCAAATATTTAAGAGAGGGATGTAACTAATAGAACTATTTTAGTTATTCACAGTGAGAAAATAGATACATTCAAAATATATTAATGTAAAGATAACTAGTAACCTTTGTGGAACATTGGAGCATAAGTGATTTTTTTAAAGAATTCTCCAACCATTTTTTTTAAAAAGAAGGCATCATAGGGCACTTTAAAGCCACCTAGATTTGATCAGCATCCATAATTCCATAGATGGCAATACTTCTTAGGTTGGATTGAAATGTGTTCATGTCTCAGACACCACAAAACCACTTGTTGTTTTTGCTGCAGTTAACAATTCTATCCATCCCAACATGTCTGAAGATTATTATTGTATCATGATGAACAATTGGTGGTTATATTTAAAGATGAATTTGGAATTCATAGAATCACAGAATCATAGAATAATAGAGTTGGAAGAGACCACATGGGGCATCTAGACCAACCCCCTGCCATACAGGAAAAACACAATCAAATTATCTCTGACAGATGGCCATCCAGCCATGTTTCCAAGGAAGGAGCTTCCACCACACTCTGAGGCAGAGAGCTCCATTGTTGAACAGCTCTTACAGTCAGGAAGTTCCTCCTAATGTTCAGGTGGAATCTCCTTCCTGTAATTCGAACCCATTGCTCTGAGTCCTAGTTTCCAGGGCAGAAGAAAACAAGCTTTCTCCCTCCTCCTTATGACACTTTCCCATATGTTTATACATGGCTATCATGCCTCTTCTCAACTTTATCTTCTGCATGCTAAACATACCCAGCTCTTTAAGATGCTCCTGATAGGGCATGGTCTCCAGACCTTGGATCATTTCAGTTGCCCTCCTCTGGACTTATTTCAGCTTGTCAATATCTCTTTTAAAACTCTGATGCCCAGAATTGGACACAGCGTTATTCCAGGTGAGTTCTAGCCAAAGCAGAATAGAGAGGCACCATGACCTCCCTTGATCTAGACACTATACTCCTATTGATGCAGCCCAAAATCCCATTGGCTTTTTTAGCTGCTGCATCACACTCTTGGCTCATGTTCAATTTGTTGTCCACAAAAACTCCAAGATATTTTTCACATGGATTGTTGTCAAGCCAGGCATCACTCATCCTATACCTTTGCATTTAATTTTTTCTGCCTAAGTGTAGTATCTTACATTTATCTTTATTGAAATTTATTTTGTTAGTTTTGGCCCAGCTCTGTAATCTGTCAAGGTCATTTTGTGCTGCAATTTCAACATCTCAGGAAAATAATCCTGCATTACAGCAACCCAGTAGCATAATTCCCCTTTCCCTTCTCCCTGAACTGTATAAAAATTAGAATTCTTCCCTCACTCATTGTCTATTTCCAATTTAACACAGGAAATTACCTTGGGATAGCCCATCACCATGAGAGCATTCGCACATCCCTTTGAGCAGTTGCACAGGAAAACAGTATTATAAATGACTTAGTGGTGGCAGGAAGATCCTGCCATGTGTCTAGACTCATCCACTTCATCATGCCCTACTCTTGACAGGAACAGTACTCTCAAGTGGCCCTTGACATGCCCCCTCCTCCAAAAGCTATTCTGAAAAAGCAGGTTTGCTTTGCCTGCAAATGGAAGAAATTCAGTAGATATCTAAAAGGCCATCCAAGCCCCACTTCTGTTCATCAGATTAGTGTGGAAAAAGAACAGGAGGAGAAAATGTGGTAGCTCAGACAAATGGCACAAACCTTTCACCTCACACAGTATGACATTATAATTAAGGTGTGAAGAGCGGATCTGAAGAACACTGTCATTAAATACAACTGGAGCACATCTCTACTAATGTAAATTATATTAATTTGTTTGACACCACTTGTGGCTCAGTGATGTGGAAGCATGGGAGCTGTGGTTTTACAAAGTCTTTTGTCTTCTCTATCTCACCAAACTACAACTCCCAGGATATTATAGTATTGAGCTATGGCAGTTAAAGTAGTGTCAAACTTCATTAATACAACAGTGTAAATAAACTCTATTAAACATTAAGAAGTGGGGAAGGAAAACCAAAAACAGGAGAAGAAAAGGTAGATCACAAGTAAACTAAAGCTCAAACACAATCCTAACACTAAAATCATAAATACAAACTAGCCAATACATCAATACTAATATACTAAACATCCACTAAGGCTGGATCTACAATGCCATATAATTCAGATTATCAAATCAGAAAGTACAGATTATCTGCTTTCAATTGGATTATATGAGTCTACATTGCCATATAATCCAATTAAAAGCAGATAATTTAGATTTTATATGGCAGTGTAGAGGGGTCTGAGCCTGGAGCTACATTGCCCTATATCCCAGGATCTCATCTCAGATTGTCTGCTTTGAATTGGATTATATGAGTCTGCACTGCCATATAAACCAATTCAAAGCAGATAATCCAGATTTTATATGGCAGGGTAGATGGGGTCTGAGTCTGGATCTATACTACCCTATATCCCAGGATCTGATCTCAGATTGTCTACTTTGAACTGGATTATATGAGTCTATACTGCCAGATAATCAGGGATCAGATCCTGTGATACATGGCAGTATGGATACCGTCAGAGAAATATATTATTCTGCCATTACAGATTGAGTTAAGGCCCTTTCCACACTGCTCCTGTATCCCGGGATCTGATCCCAGATAAACTATTTATCCCAGATTATATGGTAATGCAGATTCATATAATCCAGGTTAAAGCAGATAATCTGGGATCAGATCCTGAGATATAGGGCCGTGTAGAAGGGGCCTATATCTCATCACACATCTTCGCTTCAAGTGTATATATACATGTGAATTAATATGCCTGTATCTGCATATGTATGTCTGTGTGTCCGTGTACATATGCATGCATAGTTGTGCTGCAAACTGTGTTCCTAGGCACAGGATGCTTGCAAGATGGGTTTGTCTCTGGGAAATAATGGACAGTGTCCAGCATCCAGAGTGCTTGGGAATTAACTTTCACGCATCATTGGAATTGAGACGGTTCCTGGAAATCCTGGGAACTGAAGCTGGCCTCTTGCTAGGATGAGCCGTGACAGAAATTGCAGTGCATTTATTTCTTCCAGTTTATCCTGTGAGTGCAGGGGAAGCATCGCCTAGTCCAGCTGCCTGGGGGGAAATCAGCCTTGCTAATAGAGTTTGCACATGAGCTACACATGAGGACTTTGCTGGCTATTTATATAACTGGCTCACAGGACCCACATCAGGCAGTTTGTTTTGTGGCATTCGCTGCAGGCAACTGGGGGATTGTACTCTCCAAGGCCCTCTTAAAGCGTCTGCTGCCCAGACAGGTAGCGATGGATCTAGATGCATCTTAGACAAAGCTCTCCTGCACAAAATAAGGCCTGCAGAATGAGCTGGCAAAGCCTGTTCTCAAAGCTCTCTTCTCAACACAGGACGGCAGCAGCATAGTA